TGTTTTCAATCCCTCCCTCTTACCCCTCCTTCCATCCCACCCCACCCCCTCACACCGCAGTGATCTCTCCTCCAACTTCTCACTGGACCAGTCCCCCCATGAGCTCACCCCCTCTCATCCAACACTACAACATCCACACCAACTATTTCTTCAATGTCTCCCTCTTAACACTCCCCCCCTCCCTCCCCCCCCCCCCACCCACCCCACTCCACCCCCACCCACCCCAACCCACCCTGTCCCACCTCTTTTCACCGCAGAGATCTCTCTGCCAACTATTTCACCGGGCCAGTTCCTTCCATGAGCTCAGCCCCCCTCATCCTGCACTACAGCATCCACACCAACTATTTTTTTGGCTCGGGCAACATTCTCGACCTCGCCGGAAATTCCATCTGCCCGAACGCCACCTCCTCCGTCCAAACCGCCAACAACTGCCTCCAATACGAGTCCGACACCTGTACCAGCGCCACCAGCACAGGCGGTAACCCTGTTACCGTAACCGAGGCCCAGCGCACCGCAGCAGACTGCACAGCGTTTTGCTCGACGAGTTTCGGGCTGGTTACCACTCTGGGGAGTAACGCGCAGTGCACTTATGGGATCGGGGTGTGTGTGGTTAGCGCCGTTGCGGTTACCACGGGTGCGGTTACCATACAGTGTAACTGCACGTGGCTGGGGTCGACCCTTGCGGCTAACAAGACTGCCTGCCTGCCTCCTCGTAAGCCTCTCTCCACCTCTCTACATCTCTCTCCACCACTCTCCACCTCTCCACACTTCTCTTCTTGAGACATCACAAACGGGACCATACAGTGTAACTGCATTGCACCTGGCCAGGGTTGTCTCTTGCAGCTAATGGCACTGCCTGCCTGCCTCCTCGTAAGCCTCCCCGTTCTCCACCTCTCTCCACCTCTCTCCACCACTCTCCACCTCTCTTCACCTCTCATTACCTCCCTCTTCCTTCTCTTTCTGTTGTCCCTTCCTCCTCCTTCCTCTGTTCCTCTTCTCCCTTGCACCTTTAGATGCAACCCCCCCTCCTTCTCCCCCATCTCCCCGCCCTCCTCCCCCTCTTTCCCCCTCCCCCTCCCCCGTATCCGCCCTCTATCCTATCTTCCCTCTATTCCTCTTATTGTCTGCCATGTGTCCCACGGCAATCATTCAGTGTTGTCAAGTGCATCAATAGTTTCCCTCAATACCTAGAAGCCCCTCTTATAATCACCCTCATTGCAGTCACGTTCTTGATTCTTTCCTCCCCTTCTGTGTCCCTCCCTTCCTCCCCTTGCCCCTCTCTCCCGCAGCTCCTCCCCCCTCTCCTCCACATCCTCCCCCACTTCCCCCCCAACCGTCACCTCCACCCCCACCTCCCTTCCCCCCACCGTCACCCCCATCCCCCTCTCCCCCTCCATTCCCCCCACCTTCCCCACCTCCCCCTTTCCCTCCCCCATCCCCACCTCCTTCCCCACCTCCCAACCCTCCCCCTCCTCCTCCATCCCCCCCACCTAGACCCCCACCTCTTCCTCCTCCATCCCCCCCAAACCCTCCCCCATCCCCCCCTTCTCCCCCACCCAAGCCTCCCCCATCTCCCCCTTCTCCCCCACCCAACCCCCCCCCTTCTCCCCCATCCCCTCCCCCCAAGCCTCCCCCATCTCCCCCTTCTCCCCCACCTAAACCTCCCCCTTCTCCCCCATCCCCTCCTCCTAACCCTCCCCCATCTCCCCCTTCTCCCCCGCCCAAGCCTCCCCCATTCCCCCCTTCTCCCCCACCCAAACCTCCCCCTTCTCCCCCATCCCCTCCCCCCAGGCCTCCCCCATCTCCCCCTTCTCCCCCACCCAAACCTCCCCCTTCTCCCCCATCCCCTCCCCCCAAACCTCCCCCTTCCCCCCCACCCAAACCTCCCCCTTCCCCGCCTCCCTTCCCTCCCCCTTCCCCTCCTCCACGGCCCCCTCCCCACCCTCCTCCCTCCCCTCCACCTTCGCCTCCCCCTCGCCCCCCACCTCGTCCCCCTCCCTCCCCTCCCCCTTTCCCTCCCCCTTCTCCCCCACCCAAACCCCCCCCTTCCCCGCCTCCCCCCCCTCCCCCTTCCCCTCCCCCACGCCCCCCTCCCCGCCCTCCTCCCTCCCCTCCCCCTTCGCCTCCCCCTCGCCCCCCGCCTCGTCCCCCTCCCTCCCCTCCCCCTTTCCCTCCCCCTTCTCCCCCACCTAAACCCCCCCCTTCCCCGCCTCCCCCCCCTCCCCCTTCCCCTCCCCCACGCCCCCCTCCCCGCCCTCCTCCCTCTCCCCCCCCTTCCCCTCCCCCACGCCCCCCTCCCCGCCCTCCTCCCTCCCCTCCCCCTTCGCCTCCCCCTCGCCCCCCGCCTCGTCCCCCTCCCTCCCCTCCCCCTTTCCCTCCCCCTTCTCCCCCACCCAAACCCCCCCCTTCCCCGCCTCCCCCCCCTCCCCCTTCCCCTCCCCCACGCCCCCCTCCCCGCCCTCCGCCCTCCCCTCCCCCTTCCCCTCCCCCACGCCCCCCTCCCCGCCCCCCTCCCTCCCCTCCCCCTTCCCCTCCCCCACGCCCTCCTCGCCCTCCATCCCCTCCTCCTCCTCCTCGTCCTCCTTCTCCCCCTCCTTCTCCCCCACCAAGCCCACCTCCCTCACCCCCTCCTCCTCCCCCTTCCCCTCCTCCACCTTCCCCACCCCCATCACCACCCCCATCCCCTCCGCCACCGTCCCCTCCCCCATCCCCCCCTCCTTCCCCCCCTCCTCCCTCTCCTCCCCCTTCTCCCCCACCAATGCCACCCTCGCCTCCCCCCTCCCCTCCTCCCTTCCCCCCTCCCTCACCTCCCCCTCGCCCTCCCCCATCTCCCCCTCCATCCCCTCCTTCCCCTCCCCCACGCCCCCCCCCTCGTCCCCCTCCCTCTCCTCCCCCTTCCCCTCCCCCACGCCCCCCGCCTCGTCCCCCTCCCTCCCCTCCCCCTTTCCCCCCCCCCTCTCCCCCTCCGCGTCCCCCCCCATCGCCTCCCCGTTCCCCCCCTCCATCCCCTCCCCCGCGTCCGCCACCCTCCCCGCCACCACCTCCCATGCTACCATTATTGGAGTGTTACAAGACAAGCCTCAACGATAAATGCAAATGTTTTTGCCCGTTCTTCAATCAATGCTATTGCATACAATAAAAGACAGAAGTGTAATCCATTATAGCATATGTTCTTACCCTTTGCCAGCACCACATCAGTGTCACCTGTATATGCCCTGAGTGTAGCTGGGAAAAATCTGATGAGATATATTTGCAAGATCTTCTCACAAATCAGTTCATCTGTTTATATTGAATGCAGTCAAGTCAAGTCTGTACAACTGTAGCAAGGAGCTAAAACAACTGATCTGCAAACGAGGTAAACTGAAAAAGACACAATTTACTGCACACCGATGCCTAAACCCCGATTCCTGTACCCTGAGTCTCTAACCTCTGGACATCGGCGTGCTACGAGGGCAGCTAGCGGACTGTAGCGGTTACGAGAATTTCATGATTTGCCCTTCGAAATTTGACGCATAAAAGGTGCGGCGCGTAGGTAGGCGTGTTGGGTGTACGTAATGGCAATGTCTGTACTCGCACGAGGCGCCTCGCCGACGGCCGCGTTCCACGCCGCCTTTAGCGCTCGTCGCGGTGCTGCTACCGCATATTCCGCAAGATCCCCCCTGCAGACTTCACTTCCGCCATCTGCGCTTCCGCCATCTGCGCTTCCGCCGTCTTCTCTTGCGCCGCGTTCCGAGGCGCACTCGCGACGCGCTCGATTAATCATCACCGCCGCCGCGGCGGCGGCGGACGGGCGAGAAGGAAGCACGTCGCCGCAGGACGCGGCAGAGTCGCCCAGCCGTGGGCGGCAAAGAAGGCGAACGAGGCTTGGTGGCGGTCCGGATACAGGATCGCCTCAAAGTTCGGATCTAGGTTCGCCAGAAAGTTTGAACTCAGGTGCGCCTCGAAGTTCGGATCAAGGATCGAATCCAAGTTCGGATCCAGGATCGAATCAAAGTTCGGGTGGCAGCAGCGGTGGTAACCCTACTAGCAGAAGGGAATGGCAGGGGGGGATGGAGGCCATTGGCGGTGGGATTTTGAGGGGAGGGGAAAGCGGGGGAATGGGCGGAGAGAGAAGCGCGGGGATGGGCGGCGGCGACGGCGGGCGGAGGCGGATCGGGGTTGGTGGCGCGGAGGGGATGAGCGCAGCGCGGCAGCGGCGGCTGGAGAAGTCGCGGGAGGCGCGTGAGCAGCGGAAGGAGTCCGCGGAGGAGGAGTTTCAGCAGTGGGCGAGGTGAGGGGGGAGGGGAAGGGAAAGGGAGGGGTAAGGGGGGGAGTTAGGAGGAGGGGGGCGGAGGGAGGGAGGTGAGTCTTGTGGGGAAGACCAGGAGGCGCGCTATTAGCGGAAGGAGTCCGCGGAGGAGGATCCCAAAAAATAGAAATCTCCGCAGTTTCAACAATGGGCGAGGTGAGGGGGGGAACGAGGGGAAGGGAAGTGGGGAGGGGGGAGGGGGAGACAGAGTGGGGGATGGTTGTTATGGGGAAGACCAGAGTGTAGCAGGGGGAATCGGCGGAGGAGTTTCAGCAGTGGGCGACGTGAGGGGGGGAGGTGGAAGAGGGTGAGGGAGGGAGAGGGGGTGGAACGGGGAGGGGGGTCGGAGAGATGGGGAGGAGAGAGGCTTGATGGAAAGAGGGGGTTGGGTTTGGGTTTGGGTTTTAAGGGGGGACAGACAACATCCTTTTTTTTCCCACCTCTTCCCCCTCCCCTTCCTCGGCTCTTTTCCTGCACCAACCTCACCTCTCCCTTTTCCCGCACCAACCTCACCTCTCCCTTTTCCCGCACCAACCTCACCTCTCCCTTTTCCCGCACCAACCTCACCTCTGCCGTCCTTCTTCAAAACACAGATACTCTTCCTTCACGGTGATGCAGGGTAGTTTTGAGAATTCTAGTTTTGAGGCGCCTCAAACAAGGTGATGCAGTGTAGTTTTGAGAATTCCAGTTTTGAGGCGCCTCAAACAAGGTGATGCAGGGTAGTTTTGAGAATTCTCAGAAATACCGTGCTGGATACTCTTCTGTCCTCCCACCTCCACTCAACCCCCTCTCAGCCAAGTGGCAGCGCAGCCCAGGACCCGAGCTGATGGAGCTGTTTGGAGATGCCATGCTGGTTACACCAACCACCCCCAACCCCCGTCCTCCCCCCCCTCTCAGCCAAGTGGCAGCGCAGCGCAGGACCCCAAGCTGATGGAGATGCCATGCTGCTGGTTGGACCATCTGCTCTGTGCTTAACCCCCACTTACTCACTCACACCGCACTGCACTCCCTTTTTGTTCGTTTGCAGCCAAGTGGCAGGGTAGCGCAGGACCTGGAGCTGATGGAGCTGTTTGGGCGTGCTCTGCTGGTTGCACCATCAGCTCTTAACACCCACTTACCCACACCGCACTCCACTCCACTCCACTCCCCTGTTCCCCCCTTTGTGCTTTGACAGCCAAGTAGCTGCACAGGACCCCGAGCTGATGGAGCTGTTTGGAGATGCCATGCTGGACCCGCAGCAGATGCAGGAGAAGGTGAGGTGCGGTGGGATGAGGTGGAGTGCGGTGGAGATAGGGATGAGGATGGGGTGGGGGGGATGAGGTGGGGCGGGGTTCGGTGGGGTGGAATCGGGTGTGAATTTGCAGCTGAATCTTACAAGGAGGTTTGGAGATGCCGTGCTGGATCCCAAACCTCAGAAGCCTGAACGCTGACCCGAACCCTGCTGCTGTACTGCTGTTGTGCTGCTGTTTTGCTGCTGTTGTGCTGCTGTTGTGCTGCTGTTGTGCTGCTGTTGTGCTGCTGCTGTGCTGCTGTTGTGCTGCTGTTGTGCTGCTGTTGTGCTGCTGTTGTGCTGCTGTTGTGCTGCTGTTGTGCTGCTGTTGTGCTGTTGTTGTGCTGCTGTTGTGCTGCTGTTGTGCTGCTGTTGTGCTGCTGTTGTGCTGCTGTTGTGCTGCTGTTGTGCTGCTGTTGTGCTGCTGTTGTGCTGCTGTTGTGCTGCTGTTGTGCTGCTGTTGTGCTGCTGTTGTGCTGCTGTTGTGCTGCTGTTGTGCTGCTGTTGTGCTGCTGTTGTGCTGCTGTTGTGCTGCTGTTGTGCTGCTGTTGTGCTGCTGTTGTGCTGCTGTTGTGCTGCTGTTGTGCTGCTGTTGTGCTGCTGTTGTGCTGCTGTTGTGCTGCTGCTGTGCTGCTGTTGTGCTGCTGCTGTGCTGCTGCTGTGCTGCTGTTTTGCTGCTGTTGTGCTGCTGTTGTGCTGCTGTTGTGCTGCTGTTGTGCTGCTGCTGTGCTGCTGTTGTGCTGCTGTTGTGCTGCTGTTGTGCTGCTGTTGTGCTGCTGCTGTGCTGCTGTTGTGCTGCTGCTGTGCTGCTGCTGTGCTGCTGTTGTGCTGCTGTTGTGCTGCTGCTGTGCTGTTGTTGTGCTGCTGCTGTGCTGCTGCTGTGCTGCTGTTGTGCTGCTGTTGTGCTGCTGCTGTTCTGCTGTTGTGCTGCTGTTGTGCTGCTGCTGTGCTGCTGTTGTGCTGCTGTTGTGCTGCTGTTGTGCTGCTGTTGTGCTGCTGTTGTGCTGCTGTTGTGCTGCTGTTGTGCTGCTGTTGTGCTGCTGTTGTGCTGCTGTTGTGCTGCTGTTGTGCTGCTGTTGTGCTGCTGTTGTGCTGCTGTTGTGCTGCTGTTGTGCTGCTGCTGTGCTGCTGTTGTGCTGCTGCTGTGCTGCTGCTGTGCTGCTGTTGTGCTGCTGTTGTGCTGCTGCTGTGCTGCTGTTGTGCTGTTGCTGTGCTGCTGCTGTGCTGCTGTTGTGCTGCTGTTGTGCTGCTGCTGTTCTGCTGTTGTGCTGCTGTTGTGCTGCTGTTGTGCTGCTGTTGTGCTGCTGCTGTTCTGCTGTTGTACTGCTGTTGTGCTGCTGTTGTGCTGCTGTTGTGCTGCTGTTGTGCTGCTGTTGTGCTGCTGTTGTGCTGCTGTTGTGCTGCTGTTGTGCTGCTGTTGTGCTGCTGTTGTGCTGCTGTTGTGCTGCTGTTGTGCTGCTGTTGTGCTGCTGTTGTGCTGCTGTTGTGCTGCTGTTGTGCTGCTGTTGTGCTGCTGTTGTGCTGCTGTTGTGCTGCTGTTGTGCTGCTGCTGTGCTGCTGTTGTGCTGCTGTTGTGCTGCTGTTGTGCTGCTGTTGTGCTGCTGCTGTGCTGCTGTTGTGCTGCTGCTGTGCTGCTGCTGTGCTGCTGTTGTGCTGCTATTGTGCTGCTGCTGTGCTGCTGTTGTGCTGCTGCTGTGCTGCTGTTGTGCTGCTGTTGTGCTGCTGCTGTTCTGCTGTTGTGCTGCTGTTGTGCTGCTGTTGTGCTGCTGTTGTGCTGCTGTTGTGCTGCTGTTGTGCTGCTGTTGTGCTGCTGTTGTGCTGCTGCTGTGCTGCTTTTGTGCTGCTGTTGTGCTGCTGTTGTGCTGCTGTTGTGCTGCTGTTGTGCTGCTGCTGTGCTGCTGTTGTGCTGCTGCTGTGCTGCTGCTGTGCTGCTGTTGTGCTGCTATTGTGCTGCTGCTGTGCTGCTGTTGTGCTGCTGCTGTGCTGCTGCTGTGCTGCTGTTGTGCTGCTGTTGTGCTGCTGCTGTTCTGCTGTTGTGCTGCTGTTGTGCTGCTGTTGTGCTGCTGTTGTGCTGCTGTTGTGCTGCTGTTGTGCTGCTGTTGTGCTGCTGTTGTGCTGCTGCTGTGCTGCTTTTGTGCTGCTGTTGTGCTGCTGCTGTGCTGCTGTTGTGCTGCTGCTGTGCTGCTGTTGTGCTGCTGTTGTGCTGCTGTTGTGCTGCTGTTGTGCTGCTGTTGTGTAACCCACGCACAGCAATTGCAGAACAATTACACTGTCTTTCTCCCTACTCTTGCTCAAGCCTGAACCTAAGCGCTGCTGCTCACTGGAAAATGTCTGAAGATCTCCAAACCTCAGATGCCTGAACGCCGACCCTTAACCCTTGATTGAACCCGTCTTAAGTCGTGTGTGATAAGTCGATTTTTGAGTCGACTCAAAACTCGACTTATCAAACCAAACCTCAGAAGCCTGAATGCTGACCCTAAACCCTAAACCCTAAACCAGAAACCCTTGAACCCATCGTAACCCTGCACCATCTCTTCCCCCCTGCCTGTCAGATGGAGGAGCGAATTCGATCAAAGCAGGCGGAGCTGCTGTCCTTACATGCCCCCCCCCCCCCCCCCCGCCACCCTTTCCTCCCCCCACCGTTTCCCCTCCCCAACCTTTCCACTCCCCCCCTGCTGTCAGATGGAGGAGCGGATCCGCTCAAAGCAGGCAGAGCTGCTGGCGGAGAAGCGAGGCAGCGGGGCCACCATGCAGGTGGCCATTAAAGAGTATGTACAGTAAATAGTGTACAGTGCTTACGTTACAGTTTCTGGCGTATGCTAGAAAGTTTACACCGGGGCAACAACGCAGGTTGCCATAAAGGAGTATGTGCAGTGCAGTGATGAATTAGTGTATTAGAACATTGTAAACATCAGTTTTGTACTACACGTCTTTACCATACCACGTGCGCATCTGGTTTGACTGCGCATAAGCATAATATTCTTGTTTATCACTTTTTGCTTTACCTACTTGCCTCTGCTCCTCCCCTATCCTGGTTATAGGATCGACCCATTTGACATGTACATCCGGTTACAACTGCTCTTGCTTATCCCCTTTCTCTATGCACTTGCGTCCCCCCCCCCTCTCTCACCCCCCATATCCCATATCCTCGTTATAGGATCGGTCCGTTTGACATGTACATCTGGTTCGATCGAGCTTCACATATTGATCTTATCTTTCTTATCCTTCTTGTTATCCCTATACTCGTTATAGGATCGACCCATTTGACATGTATATCTGGTTCGAGCTTCACAAGACACCTTCAGAAGACGATATGAATACACTCGGCAGTGTGAGTGGACCTGTTTTCAGGAAGGAATTTTACTTTAAATGATCTTTCTCTCGTTCCACTCCTCGCCGTCTTGTTCCTTGGCTCATCTGTCTCACTCTGTTTCTCTCAAGATTTTAGGCGCCTTAAAAACCGTCTCTCGTTCCACTCTTGGCCGTCTTGTTCCGTTGTTCATCTGTCGCACTCTGTTTCTCTCACAACAACCCCTTCCCGTCCCCCCCATCCCTTCACTCTTCCTTCCCCATCCACATCCCCATCCCACCATGGCAGGTCATCAGAGCATGGTACGTGGTGGGCAAGCTGGGAGGCTACAACTCCGCCAACCTACAGGTACCATTCTATACCACTCTGGGGAATTTTGAACAGGAGCCTGGCAGGACCCAGGTCATCCGAGCATGGTACGCGGTGGGCAAGCTAGGAGGGTACGACTCCGCCAACCTGCAGTTACCACTCTATACCACTCTGGGAAACCTTGAACAGGAGCCTGGCAGGATACGAGGTCATCAGAGCATGGTTCGTGGTGGGCAAGCTGGGAGGCTACAACTCCGCCAACCTGCAGGTATGCCTCTTGTTGTGTTTTGAGTCGACTCAAAACACACCTCTTCGGTCTAGGTGGGTGGGCTGGGCTCGCCTGTTGTGTTTTGAGTCGACTCAAAACACACCTCTTCGGTCTAGGTGGGTGGGCTGGGCTCGCCTGTTGTGTTTTGAGTCGACTCAAAACACACCTCTTCGGTCTAGGTGGGTGGGCTGGGCTCGCCTGTTTCCTCCCTGCGGCCTGCCGAGTGGCACGTGGTGGGCACTGGGCAAGCTGGGAGGGAGGCTAGGGGCAGGTCACCCTCTGCTCTGGTACGTGGTGGTGCAAGCTGGGAGGCTACAACTCCGACAACCTGCAGGTAGGAGGAGGCTAGGGGCCCTTTTGTGTGTTGTATCCGCACCAGAAAATGCATGGCACCGCACCTGGTTGCTGCGGTTTGAATCCTTCTTTACTCTGCAAGAGGGAGGCACCAAGCATGGCAGGTCGTTCATCCTCTGCTCTGACTTTTAAGTCGACGTGACTTTTGAGCCAACTCAAAAGAGGTGACTTTTGAGTCGACTCAAAAGTCATCCTTCTTGCAAGAGGGAGGCACCAAGCATGGCAGGTCGTTCACCCTCTGCTCTGGTACGTGGTGGCGCAAGCTGGGACTCTTGAGAATTCTCAAAAGTCGCACCAATATAGCTGGGAGGGTACAACTCGAGAAATAGCTTCTTCTTTTCTGAGTCAACTCAGAAGACTTTTGAGTCGACTCAAAAGTCAACTCAGAAGATTCCACATGCCTGCCTGCCATCCACAAGAACAGCCTCCCTGCTCGGCCGTAATGGTTTTCCTTTATGGGGATGGGGAAGTCATGAGGAGAGGAGATGGTCTTCCTTCATGGTTTTCCCAAGTCATAATTCATGCCTCCCTCAGGCATCATTCCCCCCTCCCCATCCGCTTTCCTGTAATCGGAGGGAGACAAATCATCGAAGTTCAAGTGCGCTGTGGGCAGGGCACAGCAGCGTCTGCCCTGCCTGCTGCTGCTGCTGCTGCTGCTGCTGCTGCTGCTGCTGCTGCTGCTGCTGGCCGTGTGTTACCCATTTACCCGCCTGCCTGCCACCTCCCTCGTTTCACCCTGCCTTCCACCTGCCGTTTTCACCCCAGCTGATGAAGGGAGACGAGTCGTCCAAGTACAAGTACGATGTGGGCACGGCAGCATCTGCTCTACCAGCTACTCTTGTGCGCCCACATCCCTCCATTTTCCCTGCCATGCCCCCTCCTCATCCCACCCCAGCTCATGGAGGGAGACGAGTCGTCCAAGTACAAGTACGATGTGGGCACGGCAGCATCCGCCCTGCTTTCCGTGCTGCTCTTATGTACCCACATGCCCCTCTTTCCTGCCATCCCCCCTCTTTGATCCCACCCCAGCTAATGCAGGGAGACGAATCCTCAAAGTACAAGTACGATGTGGGCACAGCAGCGTCCGCCCTGCCTGCCTTGATGCACAACGTTGGGGACCTCGAGTTTCAAGACAACCTGGGACGGATATGGTGAGATTCATAGTGTGGTTACTGGTTACCAGATGTGGTGGTCACACCTGGGAGCCTAGCCTATTATGTGCTTACACCTGGGAGCCTAGCCTATTATGTGCATACACCTGGGAGCCTAGCCTATTATGTGCATACACCTGGGAGCCTAGCCTATTATGTGCATACACCTGGGAGCCTAGCCTATTATGTGCATACACCTGGGAGCCTAGCCTATTATGTGCATACACCTGGGAGCCTAGCCTATTATGTGCATACACCTGGGAGCCTAGCCTATTATGTGCATACACCTGGGAGCCTAGCCTATTATGTGCTTACACCTGGGAGCCTAGCCTATTATGTGCATACACCTGGGAGCCTAGCCTATTATGTGCATACACCTGGGAGCCTAGCCTATTATGTGCATACACCTGGGAGCCTAGCCTATTATGTGCTTACACCTGGGAGCCTAGCCTATTTTGTGCATACACCTGGGAGCCTAGCCTATTATGTGCATACACCTGGGAGCCTAGCCTAGTGTGTGAATGCTAGGCTACCTAGTACAACGTTGGTACACCACCACCACCACCTACCTACCTGCCTGCCTGCACCACACCACCACCACCACCAGCAGCAGCAGCTGCCTGCCTTGATGCACAACGTTGGGGACCTTGAGTTTCAAGAAAACTTGGGACGGATATGGTGAGACCGTGCGACTGGGATGGGGATAGTGCTATGGAATGGAGATGAGTCGAAGGGTTACCACCGTCGGTACCTGCCATATGCCACTGTGCGACTTGGATGGGGAGGATATGGTGAGACTGTGAGACTGGGATGGGGATACAGAGAATGCTATGGTCATGAACGGTGGGTTGCAGCCCGTGTTCTGATTTAATTCTGATCATTCAGTGGCACCAATGCCATCTTTGTTCATACTCCGAATCTGGTTTTATGACAATCAACATTCTCTCATGACTCATAAGCATGGCACATAAGCATCGCACACATGATGCCTTTTCTCAAACTCTTCCCTCTCCCCCGCACTCTCTCATACTCCCCAGGCTAGAACATGGGAGCAGCAAACATGTCGAAAATCAGCATTCTCCTTCATCCGCTCCCCATTTCCTCCACATACACTCTTCCCCACCTCACCAGGCTCGACATCGGCACAGCAAACACACTCTCTCTCACCAGAAGAGAGAGGGTGGATGTCGACATTCTCTCTCTCTTCTCCTCGTGTAGTGAGGTGTATTTTGAGGCTAGACACCTCGAATGACAACATTTTGAGGCGCCTCAAAATACACCTCGACATCGGCACAGCAAACATGGTGGATGTCGACATTCTCTCTCTCTTCTCCTCACCTCCCTCTCTCCCTCCCCACCCAACACACACACTCTTCTTCTCCCCTCACCAGGCTAGACATGGGAACAGCAGACATGATGGCAGTTGATATTCTCCTCAACTCCCTCAATGCCGTTAGCTCCGAGTGAGTGCTTCGTTTTTTTTTTTTTTTCTCCCGCTCTTTTCTTTGCTTGTGTTCTTGTGAAAAATATTAGAAGGATGCGAACCAACTCAAAGCAATGCATCTTCTCCTTAACTCCTTCGACTGGGTAAATCCCAAGCTTACGAGCTTTGAGGTGCCTCAAAAACTCTGACTGGGTAAGTTACGGCGAGACTTGGCCAAGGAGCTGAGGGAATTGAAGGAGTTAATGTGTGCTTCATGTGAGTCGACTCAAAAGCAGACTTAATGTGTGCTTCAGAGGGCATTCTGTGTCCCTATGAACCCGAGCCTCAATGCTTCAGAGGGCATTCTGTGTCCCTATGAACCCGAGCCTCAATGCTTCAGAGGGCATTCTGTGTCCCTATGCACCCGAGCCTCAATGCTTCAGAGGGCATTCTGTGTCCCTATGCACCCGAGCCTCAATGCTTCAGAGGGCATTCTGTGTCCCTATGCACCCGAGCCTCAATGCTTCAGAGGGCATTCTGTGTCCCTATGCACCCGAGCCTCAATGCTTCAGAGGGCATTCTGTGTCCCTATGCACCCGAGCCTCAATGCTTCAGAGGGCATTCTGTGTCCCTATGCACCCGAGCCTCAATGCTTCAGAGGGCATTCTGTGTCCCTATGCACCCGAGCCTCAATGCTTCAGAGGGCATTCTGTGTCCCTATGCACCCGAGCCTCAATGCTTCAGAGGGCATTCTGTGTCCCTATGCACCCGAGCCTCAATGCTTCAGAGGGCATTCTGTGTCCCTATGCACCCGAGCCTCAATGCTGCTGCTGGTGCTTGGGTGTGCAGAGTACGTGCCCTTGAATAATTGATGCACTTAACTTATTGTTCCATTCCTGTTGTCTCGCACTTGTGGCGTCGCTCCAGTTTCGTTATCACTGCAAGGTGGCATCAGCACTGCATGTCATATGCTGCCAAGAGCGCCCTCTTTGTCCTATCCCTTTCTTTACTTATCTTGCAGCCATGTGGGTATAAAGAAGGTGACAGTAGGCGGTTCAAAGATGGATGATTGGGAGGAAGGCATGACACGACCTGAAGATGGTTACCAATCCTACAGCATATGAATGATAGTTTGAATTGATTATCATACATCATGTTACAAAGCGTTATATGATCCTAGAGCATATGACTAGGAATATTGGTTCTCCTTTATTTGTTCATCATGTACCGTATGCTTTCATTTCATGATGGTCATCTGACTTAGAGCCTGACAAGCTTGTTTGATTGTCATCACTTGGTGTAGAAATTTCAAGCGAAAGCTCCAATATGACACAAGATACCCGTAAGGTTCGAATTGTACAGTACTGGTATATTTCACACCAGCATCAGACTTGGCGGAACTTCAGCAAGTCTTTAATACTTCCACCCAAACGATGTAATGTGTACGCCTATCCGCGTTGGATAGGGCATAGGAAAAGGAAGGAAAATCGGTGTTGAACTTGCACGATAACAAAATATGCGGCGCAAGAAACCTATACAGCGACTTACACTGTACCTTAGTTAATTTGTGTACCAGTCATGCGCAGTAATAATCACCTCTAGGAGAAATTGACATGCCGACACACAGTGCATAATGTCAGATTATAATGCTTGTCTAGTCTATAGTGGGGTACTCAAAAGTGAGTATAACCCTTTTGGGCTTGCTACTTGTATCCCTCTCCTTTCTAGTTCAATCACTTCTTCTCCTATTTCTCTTTCATATACCCTAAAACCTAGCTATGGCTTCTTAGCCTTGGCTACTATTCTTAACACATAATTGAGACGGCTAACCATAACGCGATGTCGTTAGATGCACGACCCTAACCGACGACGCAGTGCGATTTCAACTCGCAACTACACTGCTATGAGGCTCAGCACTAGCGGATTTATAATAACGACATCTTCCGAGGCGAAGAGACGTGGGCGTAGTTTCGAGCAGTCCTAATCAAAGGTATCGAACCTGTAAATACTTACACATCAACAAGAGGTTTTCTTTTATGTAGGCGTTCTCGTTTTTTTACACTGTCTGAAGAATGTATTGTTCAGGAGAATATCAATGCCGAATACGGCATATAGAGTGGTGGTAGAAGAGATCATTGAATGCCATAAACATCTCTAACATCTCTCAAACATCTCTAACAAAGCTCGAAAAATGCAACACGTCAAAGATTCAGGTGTCCCGATGACGCATCCAATTATTTTCAGGTCGATTTGAAAACCTAGGCTATTGAACAACTGATTTCATTTTAGAAATGATGTGATACGCTAGTTGTTGCAAATTCTGGCTTACAAAATTGCCCGTGCATCTTACTATCAAGTCCGTCAAGTCACCCACCATGTAAAAGGGTGAGAATGTCGGAGGTGCACAAAACACAACTTAGATCATAATGGAATCCCTGATCATGATGTGTGTAAGTGAGTGAGTGTGTGTGTGTGTGTGTGTGTGCGTATGTGTGTATCTGTTGTCATTATCTAACGAGCAGAAATGAATGAACTAGCAGCAAGATGGGCACGAGTAGGAAACCCAAATTGGGTTGTACCCCATATGGGCTACCCCACTACAGCCTACACAATAAGCAGCATATGAGTTTGACACACCCCCATAGGCAAAGCGGGGGAGAACAAGAGGTCACAAGACCGGTCAAGAAAAGCAAAGCAAGCTTAGGGTGGATCACGAAGCCACCACGTATTCTGAGCACAAGCAAATGGCCACAAGGACAATTCACATTCATAGTTATATATAAAGGAGAACAAATAGTACAGTGATCATGTTGAAATGAACGAACAGGAATGATTGAACTAACAGTGAAATCAGTACAAGTACCTAACCCTAGAATTGTGTACCCCCTATAGGATAACCCACTGTAGCCTAAACAAGCACAACATATATAATGTTTGACACACCCCCATAGGCGAAGTGGGGGAGAACTAGGGGTCACAAGACCAGTCAAGTAAAGCAAAGCAAGCTCAGGGTGGATCACAAAGTCACCACACATTCCGAGCACAAGTTCAAGGCCACAAGGCCAGTTCACACGCATGAGTACATATATTTATAAGGCTAGACAAGCAAGAGCAGGTATATATATATATATATATATATATATGTAACAGTACAAGCAAGGTCAAGAGGTGAGCAAGTGAGGCTCCTGAGCAGCCATGGCCCCTGCGTAGATCTCAGCCTCACAACTGGAGCTGAGAACAGAAGACGAGCGAGTAGCCCGCCACGAAACAGAGCCGGAACCAAGGCTGAAGGTGTAACCCTGTGACGACCGCTGCGTAGCCTGGTCGTCAGCCCAAGAAGCGTCTGCGTGACCAGTGAGGACCACTGGACTCCACCCTCCAAGCACTAGCCCCATGCCCGACGTACTGCACAAGTAGCGCAACACCCTCTTCGCTGTAGCCATGTGCTCTGGTCGGTGTCTCCCAGGAGCAACATAGCGTGCGAGAATGCTAAGAGGGTATGCAAGGCCAGGTCGTGTGCAGGTCATCAGGTACATGAGGCAGCCAACAAGCTCTGGGTACGGGCCACTCGACTCTACGGACTCATCCGAAGGCAGAGCTGAGAGCGAGTGGCGAGTAGGCAGAGGAGTGGCCTGATGCGAGGAGTATGTGAAGCTGAAGCGCTGAAGGACCTGCTGCACCATGTGTGACTGAGTCAGGGTGATGGTGCGGCGTGCTCTGTCCCGGGTGATCTGCAAGCCAAGGTAGCTGCGCAGCTCACCCAGGTCTGTGCACGTGTGTCTCTTCTGCAGCTCGAACTTCACGTAGGTGAGTCGAGCAGTGTCAGCTGTGGCAAAGACCAAGTCGTCGACGTACACGAGGATGTAGAACGGCGGCAGAGAAGTGTCGGTGCGTAGAAAGAGCGACGGGTCGGCAGTAGAGGGAGCAAACCCAAGAGCCGCAAGCGTAGTCCTCAGTGTGTCGTGCCACTCACGCGGTGCCTCGCAGAGACCGTAGACTGGCCGCCGGAGGCTCCACTGGGTGCCAGGAGGAAAAGTCCCAGTGAAGCCAAGTGGGCGGCGCAGGCAGATCTCCTCGTGCAGGCTGCCCTGCAGGAAGGCAGTGCTTAAGTCAAGAGAGTGTTGCTCGTAGTCACGGTAAGCAGCTACGTGCAGTAGTACTCGAAGAGTGGTCATCTTCGGGGTGGGAGAGAAGGTCTGAAAGTAGTCAACTCCTTGCCGCTGCTGAAGCCACGAGCCACGTAACGCGCATTGAAGACAGGCGGAGAACCCGGCGGCCGCTTCACCCTGACAATCCACATGCCACTGACGATGTTCGCCCCAAGAGGGGGGACAGCGTCAACGTAGGTGCCTGTGGACTTCCAGGAAGCCATCTCTGCATCCATAGCTGCCTGCCACTGAGAAGAGTAGGGACCCTCTATCGCCTCCGCGTAAGAGCGCGAAGTCGGGATGTCAAAAGCATCCGGGTCTCCCTCAGGGGTAAGCAAAACGGACACGAGATGAGGTGAAGCAGCGGCCAAGCACTGGAACTCCTCCTGCCTGTCCTCAAGGACGTCCGTGCGAAGGGCACACTCACCCCGGACGGACGGAGGACAGACAGACTCAGACTCAGCGACAAGACTAGCAGCGTAGTCTAGACGACAGCGAGCAGCAAAGTCGACGAGCTCAGCAAGTAGGGCAGACGCAGCAGTGGACTCAAAAGAAGGGTCAGTGATGACAGTAGCAAGGAGACGCGTGACAGTAGGACTGGCAGCACGAAGAGAGTCCGACTCCGGGTCGGGAAGAGCAGGAAGAGAGGACTCAGGAGGAGAAGGCAAAGGGGCACGCAGA